ATCCTTCTCCTTCTTCTCATCCTTCTCCTTCTCCTTCTTCTCATCCTTCTCCTTCTTCTCATCCTTCTCCTTCTCCTTCTTCTCATCCTTCTCCTTCTTCTCATCCTTCTCCTTCTCCTTCTTCTCATCCTTCTCCTTCTTCTCATCCTTCTCCTTCTCCTTCTCCTTCTCTTTCCTCTTCTCCAAGGGCATTTAAATTAAAGGTACAGTGTTCTGCACTAATTTAAAGGCTCTCTGAAGCCTAGAAACCCTTTTTATAAGTCATCTTCGTAGCGAAGAAATTCGCATCGAATCGAATTTCACACTGGAATTCGCCGAATCAGCCGAATCGAATTTTTGAGAAATTCGCTCATCTCTACATATCACAATTTAAAACCAAGATAACAGAGATGTCTGATGCATTTAAAGCTAAAGTTATTAATGAGTCTCATTTTAGCTAGTGTACTCAAGATTACATAAACATTGGCCATCTTATCCTGTGATTCTTGTCTATCAGGGATACTGTATTTCAGGAAACCTTTGTCTTGGCACATAAACACTCCAGGGCCCTTTGGACCTGTTTAGCACATGTTGACTTCACTCTGTCCAAACTCTACTCTACTTTGTTCTTCAAACTGCATGTTTGGATGTTGCCATTGCATACAATGCAACCATTTTTTCCACTGATGTAAAAGCACAAATTACTTTAAATAATTTCCATAACTGCAACTCCAGGGATGTCATTTATCTATTGAAATGCCTTATGGCCGTGCATATGTTCGCCAAACCATGCAGAAGGTTCAATCACATATCAATTTTTTTTATTATAATTTTTATTAATCAGAAGGTTTAATCACATATAAGCAAACATAGAAGTAAAATATGAACCTTTGAATTTTTCTCACCAGTGGTAGGACACTTTGGCAAAGTAGAACATATCTCCTAACAGCTTTGCTTTACTGGTATTGAAAAGTTCCATAATGCAGGGGGAGGTGGCAGATTCCCTTGTAAATTATTCCTTAGAGAATTGCATTGGATTTATAGACTCAAACCATTGTCAATCAAAGGTCTCAACATTGAATGCAATTTCTTCTATGATTCATGTGAAATAGTGGTCTGCTGTATCTGGTAGCTTTTTTTCTCCTTTTATTCATTTATTGTGCTTTTTTCACCATGCATTCATTTTATTTTTTTTTTGTACTTCCATTTCTCCAACACTCACTGGGATATGTATATATGTACAATGTATTCTTTGAAGGTTCTTTAAAATTTTTATTTATTTGTACAGTTTCTTTGTTTTTCCAGCAGTCTGGAATGCACTCACAAGGTTCATTGGACATTGCAGACTCCTGTTCATTAGACTCTGTGCATTCCTTTCTATGTTGTACTTTTTCCTGTATTCAAGTTCATTGTCATGGGACTGGCATTATTAAAATGCTTTTGCTGTTAGACACCCTGAATGATGCAAGTCGGGGGGTCTGTTGTATCACTCTGACATCATTTTTGTCATGTATACATTATATATTTGTCAATTGTTTGTCAATTTTGTTATTTATTTGTACATTTACATTTTCTTCATTTTTCTAATGGCCTGGAGTTCTTTTGACATCACTGACTTTATACACTGTGCTTCACTATGTTGCTTTTCCATCTGTATTACTGGTAGCCCAGTGAGCCTATACAGTGTGCCATCAAGGGCTGGCAGCAATAGTGCTTTGGCTGCCAGACACCCTGGTTGGCACAGGGTGGGACTCTCTTGCTCTGAAAGTGATGCCTTGTATTGCCCTGATTTCATTTCAGGGTTGCAGTGCATCACATGGGTCCACCAGTGGGAGTCCGATTTATGTATTGAGGAATGGGGGGGATTTTTCTCTAGGCCTCCTGAGGAAGGGAGAAACCCCAAAATTCTGCCTTTGAGACCTCATTTCTCCCACTGAGTAACTGCTCATGTCCCTGTCAGTGCTTGTATGGCAACTATTTTGCATTCTGACAATACACATCTACTATGAATTACCTGAAATTATGAATGTATAATTCAGCTTTGCCTTATCATTTAGTTCTTAATTAAATGCACATTAACTGCCTGAGTGCTCTAGTCTGCCTGTTCCTTATTATTATTTCAGTCAGTTTCTGACTAGCTTAGACATCCCTTTTGGTTGTTTATATTAGATTGCTGGCAGATTGCCAAGATTTTTTTAGCATAGACAGCAAAGGTAAACAAACCTTTGATTTCATTGTCTAAATTGTGAATTTTAAAGACTAATTTTCCCACAAAGCCTGCAGCTGCAAAGGTGAATGATGGCTTGTTTTACTGCTTGTTTCGAATATGATATTACTTGCATGGTCAGAGTTTGAGCACTGGTTCTTCTTAAGCTGCCTGCATTGCAAGATTTATTTATTAGTTGACTGCACTTCATCTTCGTTTTCAAAATTTCTGTGTAGCAGTACCCCATACAACATCCACATATACAGTCCATTTTTGGGGTTTTGCATATGATGAGTCAGATTTGGATTTTTGTTTCTCCATTTTTTTGTGTCATACTAACACAAAAAAGAAATAAACATGAGAATGCCTAATCATTTGTAATTGCAACAATTTTCTGGGCGAAGTGGTGCATTATCTGACAGAAAAGCAGTTGTGCCAATATTATTGGCCACGACTGTACATAGAGTACTGTGGGGCACTGACTGACAGAATTGCGGCTGCTGTGTATGTATCACCTAGGTTTTTTGCATACATAGGGTGAGGGGCTCCAGGGTTTATGGCTGATGTGGAAAAAAAAAACTTGTTTTCTCATAATCGTAATAAGTTTCATAAAAGGACATTGAGCCTGGAGGCTTTGCAGAGTTTTTGGTGGGAAACAAATATTTGCATGAATACTTTAAGATAGAATGCCAGTAAGATAACTTTATGGGCTCAGCACATTTTTTTTAAATTTTCCTCATTATTAGTTTCAGCTGTCCACAGCCCTTTATATACAGTATATGAATTGACTGATGCTTAGAGGCACTGGAGGAGGCACCCTTTTAGTCACCGACTGACCTGAGATTAGTTAGCAGCCCTAAGTGTGAGCTGACTGATGCATAGGGGAATTGTGGTGAGGTAACTCTGTTAGTCACAAACTGAACAGAGTTTAATTAGTAGCGCAGATGAGAAGATGTTTTGTTTGTTTTATGCTGTGCATTTTTAAACTGTTTGTTTGCTGCTCTCCTGAATTAAACTGCAGGACAAACCTGCTTGGACTGTTAGTGGGTGTCCCTGTCCCATGCATGTTATACCAGTTAAGCCTATATACACACACACATTATATTGCCAAATGTACTGGGACACCCCTCCAAATCATTGATTTAGGTGTTCTAATCACCTCTATGGACACAGGTGTAAAATGTCAAGCACATAGGCATTCAGACTGCTTCTACAAACATTTGTGAAAGAATGATTCGCTCAGTGAATTCAAGCATGGTACCGTGATAGGTTGCCACCTGTGCAATAAGTCCATCCGTGAAATTTCCTTGCTTCTAAATATTCCACGGGCAACTATTAGTGATATTGTAACAAAGTGGAAGCAACTGAGAACATCAGCAACTCAGCCATGAAGTGGTAGGCCACGTAAAATGTCAGAGCGGGGTCAGCGCAAGCTAAGTCGCTAACCGTCAATAGCTAAAGACCTCCAAACTTTGTGTAATCTTCAGATTAGCAAAACAACAATGCATACATAGCTTCATGGAATGGGTTTCCATGGCTGAGCAGCTGCATCCAAGCCTTACATCACCAAGTTCAATGCAAAGTGTGGGATGCAGTAGTGTAAAGCATACTGCCACTGGACTCTAGAACAGTGGAGATGTGTTCTCTGGAGTGAAAAATCACGCTTCTCTGCCTGGCAATCTGATGGACATGTCTGGGTTTGGCAGTTGCCAGGAGAACAGTACTTGCCTCTGCTACTTAACTGACCTGATCAATATCCCAGGAGTTTATTTGACTTGATGCTATACTCTGATTAAAAAGTGTTCCTTTAATTTTTTTGAGCAGTGTATATATATATATATATATATATATATATATATATATATATATATATACAGTATGGACTGTATGTAAAAAAAAAATTCATCTACAGTTCTGTTATATCCATTTATTTAATACAAAAAAAGTATTTGTATTGCAGCCTCCCTGTGATATTCTGCTACAACTGTATATATGACTATTCTTTTGTTCTTCTTTGCAAATGCTATAATTGAGGTTGCCTGGGTTGAATAAAGTATAAGACCATACATTTTTATTGTACAGGAGCCCCTCTTTTAAAAATCAAGCTTTAGTTGCCCTGGAACATTGTAGAGAATTGTAAATGCATGTTTAATTTATTCCCGGGATATCTAGTGAGAAAAACATTAGAAAAAGTACACCTAGAGGTATATTTTTTAACATGTCAGTTGAAAGTGTACTGTGGAATTTCATTAAGGGTTTGATAAGTTGGAGTGGTTGATGGCAGTTAGCTTTCATTTTATCAAGCCTACAGCCCAGTTAAATGTATTCGAAGTGCATGCCCTCAGGACTGAAACTGAAGATGAATGAAGTATGCTTACATCTGAGCACAATCAATGTTCCAGATTAACCATGTCTTAGCTGGAAATAACTATGGCATGTCTTTACAGTTCTGTAGTAGTGTGCCAAGGGACATCAAGAGCTGAGCTTTCACATTTTATATATTTAATAATCCTAGACTTTATTTCTCCTACAAGATAAAGTGAAATTACAGAATACAACAAATAAACAGACAAAGATCTAGCTTAATATATGCAGCAGTGATATTTGTTTTTTAATCCTTAGTAATATTACACAGACTTACTAAAGCTGGAGAATGCAAATCCTGGTGCCACTCTGTATAGAGAAACCAATCACCTTCCAGGAGTTTTCATCAAAGCTTAATTGAACAGCTGAAGTTAGAAACTGATTGTGTACCATCAGGGGCGGACTGACCATTTGGAAACACGGGCACTGCCTGAGGGCCCGGGGTTAGTAGGGGGCCCCATGAGATGCCCCTGGTACCTTTTTTAATAGGCTTTTGTGAGTTTGGGCAAGGACACAGGGGCCCCATGATCGCCTATTGCCCGGGGGCCCCATGAGTTGTCAGTCCACCCCTGTGTACCATGCACAGTTGCACCAGATTTTGCACTTTCCAGTTTTAGTAAATCAACCCCAGGATGTTTTTACGTGTTTGTTTGTTTTTTATTTATATGTATCTACAACAGGGCAATCATTTTATTGCTAGCCATATACTAATTGTGAATAGGGCAATACAAAGAGTTGTAAAACAAAAGAAGCATGTCACATCAGGCACAAAAATGTGGCACCATGCTCATTACCATTTTATGTTTTGATGAATTCATGGCAAAGCTGCACCAGTAGCCTAATTGCTATTTATAAAAATGATCAGAATCCATATATTACTGTTGTTCTCTAAATTTCAGAACTGGGTTTACAAATACAGTAGACAAAAATTAATATCAATTAGCTGCTTCTAAAAAGTAATTCTTGAAAAATGAATGTGCATAATCATAATATTTTTATCTTTAAGCCTAGGTGCACTCTATGAGTCGTATATGAATTGCACAGGAATGTGCATCATGTGCAATTCACTGCAGCTCAAATTGCACCGCATCTGCACCAAAGTTGTGCATGCAGCAGTTTTGGAACGCACTGCAACTGGATTGGATGGTCGTTTTGTACCATGCGATCCAGTGCAGGCAAATGCACTGCAATTGTGATCTGCGTTTGGAGTATCGTTAAGATTGCACTGACACCCACTGCAGATTTCAAGGGCAGTGTGATTTGAATGCAGTGCAGGGAATGTACATGGATCATGGGTTTTTGTACGGCATTCTAGTGTGAACCAAGGCTTTATGGATCAGTATAGATAGGCAATGGTGAATGAAAGCACTTCCCACTATATTTTATTCCTCTGGATATGAGCAGCAAGAATTCCCCTCTGAATTATCTAGCTCTGCTATGCCAGCCATGAAATCTCACTTTTGTTATTGTAGATGGAAGAGTCCTATTACTTCTATGGCAATTGTTTATGTCAGCTTAAGTGAAGAAATGGTCGTCTTTTTGTTGCTGATTCATATTAGTCAGATCTCAGCAGGGATCACAATGGCTTCTTATGGATTTAAAAAATATATGTCTTAATACCCATTGCTTTTGATGGCACATTTTTATGTCAAATAACCTTGCATGTTTGCCCTTTTAAAAATATACACTGACATAAATGATTCTGTAGCAGTGGTCATTAGATACAGTATCTATGATGCTATTCATTAGGTATGGAAGTACAAAGATGATGCAAAAGTATATTAACGTATAGCTGTGACTACAGCAACCTGAAATATGACTGGTTGGTTGTGCACTTTGCCGCTGTGCCATAATTTACAACCTTTATATACCTTTAACCATAAAGCCTTAGGGAATTGGTTTTAACCTTTTTTTTTAATGATTACAGACCTCTAGTAGATTGCCCAAGACTTGCCCATAACCCTTTTGTCAGACTGCCAAAATCATCATCATCTCTTAGATACCACTATGACCTCAAAAAATGTCAATAACGTTTTATTTTACATATGGATCGTTAGAAACAGGCAATCACAAAAAGAGAAATTAACTACAACTAATGGAATTTTTACTGTAATTTTTGTAAAATCAAAATAGGAATTGAGGTACCTGTTACGTGCTATCTGATACTTGAAGTAAATTTTTCTACTTTGAACAAATATTCAAGATCCACCTCTACATTTCTATCATCCGTATATTGAAGTTTGTAAGGTTTTGTGATTTTATTATTTGTTTTTTCCTTGTATATTCTAAATCGGAAAATCAAATGTTTGTAGATTCCATAAGGTTTTTGTATGTGTTCTAGTCTTGTGAAGTGTATGATGACCTTTGATTTTAATTTGCAATAGCCAGGGAGTCAAAATACCCCATTGCTTCTTAAAAATTGTATTTCTTTTCACTTCACATGACTGGTTTATTCATTTAATGATCAGTCCATTGTTCTTGTAGGTGGTTGCTATCCTTTTTTAATGTGAGATATTTGTAAAAAAATAATACATACGGTTATTGTATGCACAAACATGCCTTAGAAAATAAAACTTGAAAAGGCAGTATATACAGTAATGGTGATCTCCAGAGAGACACACAGGATGACTCCTTTTCTGATCCTCTTGATAGTGAGGGACTATTAGCGGCTATCTTCCATAATGGAAAAGCATAGTGTGATTTGTAATTCATGTCACAGAATTCAAGTCTAATCATTGATCTTCAAAGCAGCTGTTGTACTTTTCAGAGATTTCTTTCATGTATATACAGTCCGTCACCTTTTAGAAACAGGGTTTCTTCAGTCACTACTTTTATAAAAATTGTTTTAAATAGAGGTGGTCACTGCAGGCTGTAATTTCAAATGTATTGCAATTACAAAGCAGAGGCTTTGAAAAAAAAATGAGCTTTAAAACAAAAATCAGCTTGATACATATACAGTATATGGTTATTTTTTTTAAAGCATATCTAAATATAATTATAATCTGCTGCAGCTTACAAGTTTCTTGAAGTGAAGACTGCATTCATTTCTTTTTCAGGTTTTTTTTTCTTCTATGATCATGCACTACATTGTATCTGTAGAGGAAGCTTTAGTTGCCACTGGGCTTTTCTACTGATTTGGACTACTAAATCCGCCACTACCCTTCACTACTCCTCATCTCCATTACATAGGAAGGCATTCTTTTGTAGTTCGCACAAAATACTTGCAGAAAATTCACATAAAGGAGAAGTACAGCCAAAGCTTGTTTGGCTGTACTTCTCCTGTGGACCCGTTTTAGCCAACAGTGGGCTAAAGTCCGCTGTCGGCTGACATCACTTAGCCGGTCTAGGATGGGGAAAGATCTCAACCAGGAGCCTAGACTGGCACCTTGCTCAGCTTCTTAGCAAGCTTCTGAAAGCTTGAGACAGCTGCTCCCACCCCCTCCACTGCCCAGCACCCCAGAGAGCGCTGGGGGGGCAAACCAGAGAGCTGGAGACTGACAGTCCTGGATCTCTGCTCAGAGCAGCAAGGAGAACTGAGCGATCAGTGGTGTCTGATCTCTCAGTTCTCACCCTTAGAAATGGCAGGGGACAGATGTGGTATGCTACATCCACATAGGTAAGTAATATTTAAAAAGAAAAAACATACTGCATTTTTAAGATGTACAAAACAAATTTTAAAAAAGCTGCTCCCACCGCCTCCACAGCCCAGCGCTCCAGATATACAAAACAAATTTTAAAAAATGCAGCCACCACATCTAAGGACAGGAAAACTGCATTGTATTAAAGATTTGTTTTTTGGCTTAGGTATCCTTTAGGGTGAATTCACACATGTGTGGTGACAGATGTTTTACTGCATGGTAAAACATCTGTCTCCACAGGGACACACAGGAAACTGTTTTTTTTCCCATGTGTCCCATTCACACTGCAATGCAGCCCATGCCTGTGCTAAATTGCAGACACAGTGCATTTTATTTCAGCACACCACGACGAATCGCACAGCATTGTACATTATCACACATATCACACGTACATTTTGTACACTTCAAATAATGTTTGAACAAAACAAAAAGGGAACCATGTGATGTGCTAAATTGTACACCACACGGCCCCCACCTCAGCTGGCAATGTGAATCACTCTGGTAGGACTCCATTGTAGTGTGAATTTAGCTTTAATGATCTTCTTATTGTAATTTAAAACATTGCCATTATAAATCAGTAGCTTTAAAACAAAAAAAAGAGCATTGAAATAAAAATCATCCTGTAAGAACTCCAGTAAATATCATTATGTTCCAGCATGGCTATTTAGCATGTCAAAGTTAAGTTGTTTTTCCAGTTCAGACCATTCCTGTTCTGTCTCTGTGCTTGAAACTGCTTATTTTTGTGTCATTGCAGAGGAAAGGATTAAACTCAATGCAACAGATGACATAGTCTACTCACATTGTTGCTGACTGAGTAACTGTGTTCATTTTTTTTGATCTATGTGTAGCTGTCTTGCTTTTTTTTTTTTTTAATTGGGGTTAGCTAGTGATTTTGTCATTTTGCTGTTGCTATAATATTTTTTATAGTTGCTTAGCTTGGAGTATATAAGTGTAAAGATTGATGTAGTAAATGTGCTTGCATAACAAAAACTGTATTCAAATTATTATTACATAGGGAAATTACTGAAATCTGCTAAGAGAAGACATTTATTTAAATAATTGGTTCAATAATTGTAGAAGTAATAAAATGTTGTAATACTCACCTTCATTCTGGTACTGTACCCTGGAAGCACTCTTCTTTGTCCTGTAGAACTCATCCTCTTCTGGTCTGAAACACTCATGTCCAGGGGCGGACTGACAACTCATGGGGCCCCCGGGCAATAGGGGATCATGGGGCCCCTGTGTCCTTGCCCAAACTCAAAAAATCCTATGAAAAAGGTACCAGGGGCATCTCATGGGGCCCCCTACTGACCCTGGGCCCTCGGGCAGTGCCTGAGTTTCCAAATGGTCAATCCGCCCCTGCTCATGTCTTATGAACTCACAGTGTCACATGCCATTCGACCAAGCAGAGATGTTCTCCCACCTCTGATGAAAGGCAAAAAAAGAAAAGACCATGATCACCACATGTATGATGTATATTTTTTGGAAATTTAGTGCTTCGGGGCTTTAGGGCTTCATGGGTGGGATAAAAAGTTGGGCTTTATGGGATGAACCAGTTAGAGGTGATTGTGCATTCAATTATGTTTGTAATTTTATACTTATAGTTGCAAAGCACAGTACACCATTTTTAAAACATTTGTATGTATTGTTTCTGTCGCAAACCCAAAAATTACCATCAAATGTTGGACCTTTGAGACAGATAAAGCTGCAACACTTCCATGGCTACTTCCACTCTTACACATTCCTACTGACCCATCACTTTAATGAGGATGAACAGGAGGTAGAAAGGGGCAGGCAAGCTTTGCCAGTCAAAACAGTCCAGAATTAGGCATTTTAGGCTGCTGCAGGTATGTTGAGGCAGCACTATGTTCAGTTTTTCTCTACTGTTTTAAGAAGACCATTTAATTTTTTTTATATCAGCTTAGTAGTTTTAGTGCTTAATGCTTTTTTTAAGTCACCTCACCATAATCTATCTGGTTATACTGTCTTGTATGAAAAAACCAATATGTTTCACAGGATTACACCCCCTTCATTAGGACAACAAATTCATATAAATTCCACAAAATATTTATTAA